GGAAAGCTATAATATTTCTCCGGATGTCCTCCTGGTGTTTGTCTTTGCTAATGGAAGTTGCCCTTTTAAAAGATTATGTATACGGACCCCAGAGGAAAGCATTTGGGATAGGGATTGACCCATCCTTTGGTTTGGGATGGTTGTGCTTTAATGCCCTGATGCACCCTTTTCCTCATTCCAAATTTGTTCCCTAATGTTCCAGACAAAAGACCTCTTATTATGTTTGACTCACTGCTGGTTGGAAACAGGGATAGTAAACAATATATTAGCTTTAGTTTCTTTTTAAAAATTCTTTATTGTTTAAAATATTACATGTCTCCTTTCCCCCTCTTGACCTCTCCCAGGCCACTCCCACCCCCCAGCACATGCCCTCACTGTCTGTGTCAATTGGTTATGCTCATATGCATGCATACAAGTCCTTTGGTTGATCTCTTACACACACACCCCACCCCCGCCTTCCCTTTGAGGTTTGACGGTCTGTTCAATGTTTCTCTGTCTCTGGATCTATTTTTGTTCATCAGTTTATGTTGTTCATTATATTCCACAAATGAGTGAGATCATGTGATATTTATCTTTCTCCGACTGGCTTATTGTGCTTAGCGTAATGCTCTCCAGGTCCATCCATGCTGTTGAGAATGATAGGAGTTCCTTCTTTTTTACAGCAGCATAGTATTCCATTGTGTAGATGTACCACCATTTTTTAATCCACTCATCTGCTGATGGGCACTTGGGCTGTTTCCAAATCTTAGCTATTGTAAATTGTGCTGCTATGAACATGGGGTGCATATATCCTTTCTAATTGGTGTTTCTGGTTTCTTGGGATATATTCCTAGAAGTGGGATTACTGGGTCAAATGGGGGTTCCATTTTTAGTTTTTTGAGGAAAGTTCATTCTGTTTTCCACAGTGGCTGCACCAGTCTGCATTCCCACCAATAGTGCACGAGGGTTCCCTTTTCTCTTCACCAGCACTTATCATTTGTTGATTTGTTGATGATAGCCATTCTGACAGGTGTGAGATGGTACCTCATTATTGTTTGGATTTGCATCTCTCGGATGATTAGTGACTTTGAGCATATTTTCATATGTCTCTTGGCCTTCTGTATATCCTCTTTTGACAAGTGTCTATTTAGGTCCATTTTTTGCCCATTTTTTAATTGGATTGTTTATCATCCTTTTGTTAAGTTGTATGAGCTCCCTGTACATGTTGGAGATTAAACCTTTATCGGAGATAACATTGGCAAATATGTTCTCCCATGCAGTGGGCTTTCTTGTTGTTTTGTTGATAGTTTCTTTTGCTGTGCAGAAGCTTTTTATTTTGATGTAGTCCCATTTGTTTATTTTTTCCTTAGTTTCCATTGCCGTAGGAGCTGTATCTGTGAAGATATTGCTTTGGCATATGTCTGAGATTTTGCTGCCTGTGGATTCCTCTAAGATTTTTATGGTTTCCCGTCTTATATTTAAGTCCTTTATCCATTTTGAGTTTATTTTTGTGTATGGTGTAAGGTGGTGGTCTAGTTTCATTTTTTGCATGTATCTGTACCAGTGGATAGTGTTAATCCCCCTCCCTTCTTTCCTGATTTATCTAAAGTTTGCTCCACAAATGAGTGAGATCATGTGATATTTATCTTTCTCCGACTGGCTTATTTCGTTTAGCATAACGCTCTCCAGGTCCATCCATGCTGTTGCGAATGGTAAGAGTTCTTTTTTACAGCAGTGTAGTATTCCATTGTGTAGATGCATCACAGTTGTTTAATCCACTCATCTGCTGATGGGCACTTAGGCTGTTTCCAGATCTTAGCTATGGTAAATTGTGCTGCTATGAACAGAGGGGTGCATATATCCTTTCTAATTGGTGTTTCTGGTTTCTTGGGATATTTCCTAGAAGTGGGATTACTGGGTCAAATGGGAGTTCCATTTTTAATTTTTTGAGGAAATTCCATACTGTTTTCCACAGTGGCTGTACCAGTCTGCTAGCTTTAGTTTTTAAAACTTCTTGCTTTTTGTGAGTACACACATATGCACACATACACACAATCTGCAAACAGTATCCTTAGACAATGGCTGTGCTATTCTTTATGTACTATCTGTCTCCAACCACCTCACACACCTTTACCCATCCTTTTAGGCATATGTCTTGCCAAATAAAATAGCAAGGATTCATCTAAGGTAATTGGATGGAATTACATACACTTTGGATGATATATACTTTTAGTAATATGTATAAAAACATATTATGTGTTACAATTCCTATATATGTTATTTACAGGCTGGTTTCTCTAATACCATTGCTAAGTTATACAGATTATCACTGTCATTTCTACATTTTAAATTCACGCAAGAAGAATACAAAATTAAATAAAATTCTTAGGATATAATGAATATGAAAATGACCACAGATACAAAAACATTACAATTTTTAGGTAAAGAATTTCTTCTTATGATTCTGTTCACATTTTTTTTTTTCTGGAGAGTGTCAACCACTCCTCTGTTGTTAATTCCCACCTATAACCTGACAACTCCTATATCTATCTTTCCAACCCTAGCCTTTCTTTTGTAGTTTGCATCTATAAACCTAGCCATACTGGGAGCTTACACTGGATGACTGACAAATACTCCTAACCGAATATTCTAAAACCAATCTCATTATGTCTATCTGCTTCCCAGTCTCTACGATTGCCACAGAGGTGAATAGTTTTGTCAGGTACCCAGTCATCTAAGCCAGGCGGCATGGGAATTATTCTAGCTTCTTTCCTTCTTCCTTCCCACAGGTCATCGGGGCCTATGGATCTTTTCCTCCCTAAATGTTTTTCAGGTCTGGTCCTTCTCTACCCCTGCTCTTTTCTTTTACTTTTGCTCATTATGTTTTACATCAGGGGTGGGGAATCTTTTTTCTGCCCAGGGCCATTTGGATATTTATAACATC